AGGCCCCCTTTTCTCAGTGCTGCTCTAACTTCAAATGGTCACTAAATGCACTGCCGTAAGTCGAGGACCGACAGTTGCAGCATCCTGGGGTCTCCATTTGTGACCTTCCCAGCCGGATGCAGACAAGCAGCATCAGTGGGGAAGCTGGACTCACTTAACGACCAAAGGATTTGCTTAACAGCTGCAGTGATTCACTTAACAACCCCGGTAAATAAATAAAATTGGACATGACTCACTTAACAACCATTTACTTAGCAATGGAAATTCTGCTCCCAACTGGGGTCGAAGAAATGATCTGAATATATTGAACAGACCCAGGTGGCCCCCTCTGCCCCCCCTGCCCCCCCCCAAGCACCCGGTTGGTCTTCAGAGGGCGGGGGGATGCCCTTGAACCAAAGGGGTCTGGCCACGATGAGCCTGAATTGCATTGTCTGGGGGGCCCTCCAGGTTCTGGAACTGAGGAATGGAATGGAATAGAGAATAGAAAAAAGAATATAGAATAGAATGGAATAGAATAGAATAGAAAATAGAATGGAATAGAGAATAGAATAGAATAGAATAGAATAGAATAGAAGAGAAGAGAAGAGAAGAGAAGAGAAGAGAAGAGAAGAGAAGAGAAGAGAGAATAGAATAGAATAGAAAATGGAATGGAACAGAAAATAGAAAATAGAGAAAATAGAATAGAGAATAAAATAGAATAGAGAATAGATAATTAAGAATAGAATATGGAAGGGAAGGGAATGGAATAGAATAGAACAGAACAGAACAGAAGCTGGAAGGGACCTTTGAGGTCTTCTACTCCAGCCCCCTGCTCAAGCAGGAGAACTCCCCTCTCCTGCACCCCCAAAATGCCTGGGGGGGCTGTCTCTGGCCCCCCCTTCCCTCCCTCCACCTGCCTCCTTCTGCCCCTCCCCAGGAGGCCTTGGCTGACCTGGGCACCAGGCTGCACCTCACTGCCAAGGCCAAGCAGGGGCTGGCACTGTGCACCCACACGCTCCCCGCCCAGGAGGCCGCCTGCCTGCTGCTGATCCAGACCCTCCAGCGGGAGCACCGAGACCTCCTCTGGGGACAGCCGGACTCCTCCTCCACAGAAAGCAGCAGCAGCAGCAGCGAGGAGGAGGAAGACTCTGGGGTAACAAGCCTTCCTCACACTCCTTTCTCCCCATCCTGAGTCACCCTGGAGCCAGTCAGGATCGAACTCTTGGCGGTGGGCAGAATTAGGCTGCAATGCCCCGTTCTGACCACTGCGCCACCAATGGCTCTCCCAGGGAGGCACCTCTCTTAAAGGGGATGGACAGCACCTTGAATTGGACCCAGAAGCAAATCGGCACCCCTGCAACTCCCTAAAAGAGAGGGGACCCTGGTGCAAATCTAGACATGCCCAAACCCTGCAGGCTGCCGCATTTGGAAGCAATTGAAGCTCCGGGGTACTTTCCAAGGGCAGCCCCCCCCCCCGGAGAGCTCGTTGCAGTAGTCAGTACGGGAGATGACTGGGGGGAGGGGGGTTCGTTGGTCCAGGTGGAGCCCCCACAGCCCACCCCCCAAAAAAGCTTCCGCCCTGAGCAAGGAGCTCAGCTGCTTTCTCCTCTGCCGACATTCAGGCCTGGGTGCCCGACGGAGCTCCCTACAGGCCGCTTCCAGCTGCACCCAACACTGCGGAGGGAAGCCTGGACCGGAGGAAGCCGGAAGCCCTGGTGCTCTCGGTCCTGGAGACTTTGACTCGGTATGGTTCCCTTTGCAGCGAAAAATAAATAAAATAAAATAAATAATAATAAAATGAAATATTTAAAAAAATAGATAATAATATAAAATATTAAAAAATAAACTATTAAAAATAAAATTATAAAATAAATAGTAAAATAAAATAAACAAAAGATTAAATTAAATTAAAAAATAAAATATAACATAAAATTCAAAATTACATTAAATGAAGAAAGAAAATAAAAGCGAGAGCCAACACTCAGCGGAACTCTGGGCTCGGCTGCCATGCGCTGGATCTGCTCCATTGGCATCCAAGAAGAAAGAGGGGAAATCCCCTGTGGGGTGTGTGTGTGTGTGTGTGAAATGTTGTTGGGTTGTGGGAGAAGGGAGTGCCCAACTGCCCCCTCTTTGCTCCCCCCTCTCAAAGAAGGGGATGAGCAGAAGCCCCCCACACATGCACCCCCCCCAGGAGAAAAGCAGGCTGGGCCTCTCGGGCCTTTTGGGCAGAACCCCTCCATGCTCCCCCCCCC